GCTCAACTAAGTGTCTTCATGGATTAAAGAGCTGGCTATCTATTCTGATATTTTTAATGCTTTCCTGATGGCAAGTGTCAGTTGTCTTCCCTTCCTAACATGGCTGGTCCATTTCACTTGCATTGCTGGTCTCTGTAGACCTTCCTGGGTTGACCTATGTCTATGTGACATTTTGATTTTACTGCAAGTTTGTTTAATTTTAGGTAATTTACTTTTAAAAAAAAAAAAAAAAAAAAAAAAAACACCTAAGTCTATATATTGCTTGAAGTGGAAAAAATAATTAAAAATCAGTCCACTGAAACAGTTTCCAATGCCGTAAAAATGGGGGGGGGGGGAAACGTTAGCACCGATAACCCTTAGCAGACTTGGTGTGAGCCGTGGTGCTGAACCTTGCACTTTAAGTTCAGTTGTTGGTATTTGCTGTGCAGCACCAAGTTCTGCAGAAGTTGGAAAGAAAGCAGCACTCGCTCTAGCTGGCGCTTCACCTCCAGCCAGCCCCCATTTCCATGAGCTTCTTCCTTGGGCTGTCCCCAGTTCTGTGAAACACGAGCTCAAGATTGACCCTGGTGTCAGTCGCATCAAATTTTGTTGTCCTGGTTATTATGGCCTGTGTGATGAGACCTGCGTGGGAACCTCATGGGCAAGGATTTGGATTTGTTTTGCTATAGCAGCATTCCTGGGTACTGCAACCTTCTTTCTTGTGAGGAAGAGAAAGCTACATATGGAGATTTTGTTCCTTGTATTACCAAGGCACATGTGGAGGTGGGGAAAAGCTTGCCTGCAGTAGGGACTGGCAGCTGGAGGATGCTCAGGGAGTACTGATTGCTCTGAGCCTGATACCAGCTGGGTTACTGGTGCTGCTCTTGCTGGACCAATCTTTGGAGCTCAGCTAGAGGCCTTTCCCAGAGGACTGAGCTGAGAGGGAAATCCTCTACAAATATTACTTCACTTGTCTCTGCTGCTGCACTAAGAAGGGGGGAATGCAGCTCCCTGTGCGGTTTGACCACTGCCAGCAGCAGCATCTGCACCCACATTACCCCATAGCTTCAGTGTCATGCAAGTCCCTGCTTTGGTAAGCTTTTGTGGTAACTGTGATAGCTAGAGCCTGGTTTTAAATTGAAGTTTCAAATATGCTGAGTCTGATCTGACTGGTCAATGGCTAAACACTGGCAAGCAGGATTTCACAGAGCTGTAAAAAATAGTTACGACATGGGCAGAAGGACTGTAGAAAGGAGGATGTTCCACAGTAGATGTAAAGTAGGCAAGCCTTACAGCATACCTGAGGACAGTCTTCAGAAGGAAGAGTGTGCAGTATTGTGCGTGGACTTGAAAGTACAAATGTTGACAGTAAATGGTTTTCCATCCAAGTGGTTTCAGCAGGGTTTCAGAAATAAGCTGAAGAGGAGATGGTTATTTTTGGTTTCGGTCAGTGTCAGATATGTTCAAGAAAACACAAGGGAGAGGTTAAGACTGAAAAAGGGGAGGAGGGTGGGAGGGAGAAAACACCAAAGAGGAGCAGGAAGATTGGAGAGAACTTTGCAGAACAAGCAGAAGGAAAGACAAAGATTGTTGGAGACAGCGTGTCATGGTGGGCTGGAGCAAGCTGAGGCAGGGTGTCAAAGCAGTCACCCTTCCCTTCCTCTTTCCCTCCCCTGGAAATCATTTGCCTCACCAGGAGCATGTTGTGGTTTGGGTTGTTCGTTTGTGTGTTTGATTTTTATTTGCATGACTGGGAGTGTACCTGTTTCAGCCACATCTCTCAAGTCAGCGTTTGTCCACTGTAGTAGTTGTGCACTTCAGCAATGTGGCTGTTAATCCTCCGACGCTGCCCTCTCAGCTATACATACATGGAAAGTAATGTGGTACCCAAGTCTGTGAGCCTGCAACCGAGGGAATCATTCCTAATTTAAACTGATGTTTTGGGAGCAAGTTCTGTTCAGTTGCTTTACCAGAAGGAGCGTACAAGCCTGGCAGACTGAGAACTCTGTGTCCTGGGAGTCTGAGAAGGTCCCAACCAGACCCACTTCTTACAGTGCAGATACTTCTGTGTATAGGTAAATGCATATACGGATGGTCAGGAGAATCAAGGCCTGACTTACGAATTATTTAGGCTCGCGGCTTAGGAATTACTTAGGTTACTTTCTGATATTGATGGCAGATGTGTGGTGGGTCGTGCTCAAGACCTTGGTTGATGCATGAGAAGGAGATCTTAGATATGATTCCCAGATTTCCTGATGAGCTACTGGACATCTCAAAGGCAGGCTGTTCGGTTTGGCGACGGTTGTATCGTGCATGCAGGGTGCCTTTACTTTGGGAACTGCGTTGCTGAATTCAGGAGTCACACCCAGTTCTTGTTTTATTAGGAGGGCAACTGCTACCTCTTTTGGAACCGTTGGGTAAATGAAATGTTTATGATGCCAAGTGATTTTTTCAGTAGTAAATCTGTAATTATTTTTCAAAACTTGGCGTGGCAGTGTTCTGACCCTGCAATCTTTTCTAATCTTAATAGGACTTTACAGACTCCAACCCAAGTTCCAGTGGTGGTTTCTCCTGGCAATCAGCAGCTGCATACTGTAACACTCCAGACAGTGCCTCTTACTACAGTGATAGCCAGCACAGATCCAGCCTCAGCAACAACGCCCCAGAAATTCATTTTACAAGCCATTCCTACTTCACAACCCATGACGGTTCTTAAAGAAAACGTCATGCTGCAGTCTCAGAAGCCAGTCTCACCTCCTTCCTCAATCGTGCTGAGCCCGGCCCAAGTGCAGCAGGTGCTCACCAGCAGCGTGCAGACAATTTGCAATGGAACAGTCAACATGGCTTCGTCTCCGTCCTTCAGTGCCACTACCCCCGTGGTAACGTTTTCGCCGAGCAGCTCGCAGGTGGTAGCTCATCCGCCGGGCGCAGTGATCACTTCGGTTATTAAGGCACCGGAAACGAAACAGATTGGTGTACAAGGAGGGGTAAAGGAAGAAGACAGTGACACATTAGACGATACCGAGCAGTCGGAGCAGAGATTCCAGCAGCAACCCTTTGTGATGGTAGTGTCCAGTCCGAATGGTTTCCCATCTAACGTGCAAGTGAAGCAAGAAAAAGAGCCGTTGGAACCCACTTCATACTAATAAATAAATAAATAAAAGACCCTGTGGATGATTATTTTCAGAAATGTGACGGGACTTTTTCAGTTATGTATATATGATTTGATTCTGGAGCAGGATGTTGCAAAGCTACTTAATTTCCGCAGTTAATTGTTAGAATTCATGCTTTAGAATGGATTTTGATTTTCTGTTAATTGCTAAATGTTACCATATAAATAAAATTACATATTACTCATGTTTCAGAATACAGGCATGAAGGAACATGCTTTTTACGCTATGAAGACTTTCTCCCGAGGTTGCTGGCCAAAGTTTCAAACTTCTTTCTTGCTGCACGTTTCCAGTCTGTTGCCGATTTACATCCCAGTAACGTTGTTATAACCTTTTCTGTTTAATCTGTACGTGTATCACTTAACTTTTGAAGCAACAGTTACTTTTAGTTTGAGACATTTTCATTCCCTGTGTATGAATTCTTACGATCAAGTATTTGTTTCATAACCGGTGAATTTACACCAGTTTTAGACTTGGATAACCAGGTATCCTCTTGCTTTTTCTTTTTTTTTTTGCAGCACAAGCTCTTGTGCGTGCAAAATGGAATATACACTCCTATTGAGAGTACACAAAACATTTATTCTAGTCATGGACAACACCATGTCTATATTTTATACAAAAACATCAGATATATTTAATTACAGAAGCTAACGGCATCACTACAAGGTGCAAACGTTTCATGCCATTTTGCGACTATGAAGCTTAACAATCTTGCTTTCTACTTCAGATTATTTTGTAAGGGGGGAGGGAAATGAAATATATACAATTTATGCAGGTATTTGGAGATTAATACTGCTAAGAGTTCTTTTTTTTTTTTTGATTGTAAATAATGTACATTCAATGTCACAAGGAAGTTTTTTCAGCTAATTTGTTTCCATACAAATTTTTGATAGATGCAAATAAGATCATTATGTTTAGAGGTCTAATGTTATATGTATTCATATTACAGAGTGAATTTGTATTTAAAGACAAATTTTTAAATGATGGAGCCCTCTGAACCTTGGGTCCCTTGTCTTTTGTATTTTTAATTGGTTTATTATGAAAATAAATCAAGCAGAAAAAATGTTTCTGTATTTACTCTGAAATGTTTTTATGTTATTGTACTGCTGTGACGATCACCACAAATAACCAAAACACACTGAGAAACGGGGCAACACATGGGTCTGTGCTGGGCCGTGAGCAATTCACCAGTCGCTTCCGAACAGACTCGGAACGCACCCAGCGTGCCGCGGGTACCCTTCGAAATAGCAGTACCGTGCGGTTTTGTAGCTCAAATGAAAGTTGAGCTCAGTCCAAGAATGGGACTTAAAACTTCTCCTTTCCCATCACTTCCCAATACATTACGGACACCCCAAAACTTTCAGCCTTGTTCTGGGGTGCCGTTGATCGCAAAGGTCTTTGCAGAGCTCGCGTAACACAACCGCTGGCCCAAACCGCTTGGTCGTCAAAACCTCGCACGTTGCAGTCTTTCGGCAGAAGGCGGGTTAAAAACAGATACGATGCCTGGTAAGCTTAGTGGAATGTAAAATTAAAGGAAATGCGGCTTTCTGTGATTGAATTCATGCAGGAGTTTTACGGATTGGTTCATAAGGTTAACTTTAAAGGTAAGCATTACAGGTACTAGAAAAAACTAAAGGGAGCAGAACTATGGCGGAGAGAGTTCGGTCTCGTTGAGTAGGAGCAACTCTACAAGCTGCTACCGAACGAGCAGCGCTCTGCCACCGCTGCCCTGTTTCTTGGCAGCCGAAACCACCCTCTTTAACTCGGCGCTCCTTCCCTCTGACTCCCACGCAGTCTGGCTCCCACCTGCAAATCCACCGTGCCTCACCCTGTTTCCAGGAAGGCTGGGCCATGCCCAAACCCAAGCGGCTGCCGCCGGCTGACCGGCGGTTGGGCACCTGGCAGCGCTCCCCGCCGCTGGGGAGTGCCGGAGATGCCACCAGGAACAGGGGCAGGCGCTGCACAGGCGTCGCCGACACAGTTCTCGTCCTGAGGGCTATCTCAGGTTGGTGCAAGCACTGGAGGGGGAGGATGGGTTTTTTGGTTTCTTTTTTTTTTAAAAATCAGACTATAAAATAGGGGCTTTTTCCTGTAGTACAAGTATTTCATAACGCTAGGACACCTGAAGTGGTAACGCTTGACTGGCATTGGTGTTTTTAAATGTGGGGAGGGGAGGTTGTTTTGCTGATTTACAGGAGGGGAGGGGGAATCGCATCATAAGGCTACAACTTCGCCAGCAAAACTTCTTGCCACGGACGCAACGATGACGAAGGGAAGATGATTTGTCAGCGAAGTTTACGTCAGTTGGAGAAGGGGAGAAAATCAGCAGGCAGGAACGCGCCTCCAACAGCAGACTCCCCCATGCAGCCAACAGTAAATGACAATCGCTCCCTCCCCGCCTCCCGTAGGCTCCGGCCGGCCGCCTCCGCACTCCCAGCTCCCCTTAGTGCGACAAAGGACGGGAGCAGCCGGTGTAGACCGTACA